AAATTGGATACTGTTTTAGGCCAATGTGCAAGTATTACGCAAACATATTGATGGAAACTTGTAGCTAGAAGATCACTACGTCGGATACCTTCCAAATCTCTCTCGCGTGTATGACTGACTTCACATTATTGCACATTTGTGAAGTAGCTAATTAGTATCGTAGTATTCAGCGGTCCCAGCATCTTACCACATGAACTGCTGACGCAACCAGAGGCTAGAGGCAGCAAGCAAGCTTGCTCAACCTCCATTGTGAGGCTTACTGTCTCAGCCGGCATTCGGTTCAAGGCTCGCCTGCATTCTGGCCTAGATGGAGGGTTTGTGATATAACTACGTGCGCTACATTGACCACGCTGATTGGCTATCAGGAGAGGTGGGTACAAGTGGCGAAGAAACCTTATAATTTGATTGACTATTAAATTTGCAGTAGGTTTTGGAATTCGAAGCTAACCCAATCACTAGGATTTGACCATTGGGAAGTGGCAACTTTGATCCGAGTATGTTTAATTTTGTTAAAACTGGAATGGCACGTTCACCTAATAGAAACATTCGGAATACATAAAAGAGAAGGATTATCTCACACATCAGATTTATACTCCTGAAATAAGATGCAATGATTGTTCATTAATGATTAGTTCAAAAAGTGGGAATTTGCATGCCATGGCGAGGGTTGAGAAATTTCTAATTTAATAGGTTGTAAACTATTATTGAAGATGGGATTTTACTAATCCAAAGAAGATGCTACATCTAAAAGATAAGATTCGTTCCGTTCATTGAATTAATATTTTCCCCATAGACATTTCCAAAAAAATAAGTGCTAAACTGAGCCGAGAACGCTCCAACCTTCGTACATGTTTGGCCTTGGCTAAGTCACGACAAAGCAATCTTAAATCAATACAACACGTAGCAAATGCTCCCTTTCACTGCAAAGTGAGTCCAAATAGTTCCCACTACATTCTAAACCAGGTGAAATGTATGCAAAGTAATCTTGTGGAGAATTCTGAATTGAATTAGTTCCCGAACATACTTAAAACACGATAGTGCAAACGTGAAAAATCAATTGTTATAAGATTGGGTGTGGCAAATCCCTGGGCGTGTTTCACCTTGTACAAATCCTTGGTGGAGGAACAATACTTGACCAATATTCTACTGAGAGATGGACCAAGAGACGTTGAAACTACAAATTTCACTCAAATACTTTGAAGATGGCCAAGGCCCTTGACCTTACAGAGGTAATCAGAGAATAATTTCAAGGACGGTAATTATTGCAGGAATGACTCGCATTTACAAATCGATTACGGCTTCTTCTGTTTGCCCGACTACTAATCACAGTTTAACTTTTTCGGGTGCTCGCAATTTGCCGGTTGCCGCCGGCGGAGCCACAATCCCGCTTATCACTACTCTCTCCTGCCTAATTATCTCTTCCGGATCCAAACTTCCGATAAAGTACTTTCCCCGCTACAGGTGCCGGCGATCCAGCAGACCGGTGGACGGCACACGCCCTGCATCGCACCATAGACCGAGCAGGAAGTGATCCAACAGTCACCTCAGCTTTCTATCAAACTATGTGATACGGCTTACATGATCTGGTTAACCACCTTGGTCAAGTGGTTGCTGAATAACGGTCTAATTGAGATTGGCGAAGTTTTCCTCCTCCAACTGGTTCCTTGCGGTTCCACCCGTTGCTGGCTGGAATTGTTATGGTGTATGAAAATCCGCTGTACGCCATATTTTGAGAAGCTATATTCTCTACCGTGTACGAAATAGCAGGAAAAGTAAATGGGCAAATATCTTTTTGTTGACTAGAGTCAAAACATCCAAATAAAATTGCGTACCGATGAGTACTGGCCTTTTAGCTAGTTATATGCCCAAAATAATATTATTTGACACGTTCAACGTCAGTTTTTCTGTCAGATGAAGAGGATGAAACCAAACAATAATCTCTCTGCAAGGAAGACTATTTATACCGTCTGTGAGAGTTGGTCGCTCGGCAGGAACTAATGTCTCCTGGGGAACGCGGATGGGAATGTCCTGATTGTTTACTTTTAATCGCTGCTACCGAGAGTCGATCCGACTTTTCCTAACTTGTTTACTTTCATTCGACAAGTGAAGCAGGTGGATCTATCAGTCAAGAGGCAAGTAAGGCTAGTGAGCAATGCGTTGGTAGCTGAGTGTGATTAGCGTTTCAAATTTATTGCTGGTTATACTAGCACGCTTGTTAGTCTAAGTCGACAAATGGCTATTGGCTGATGAAACATGCAACACTTAAAAGAAATTAAATGAAAATCTAGTGTAGCTGTGAAGGCCTTCAAGCGATATATAAACGCTAAATACGAATGTTTTGATATCCATTTGTGGACTTTGACAGTGTGAGATTAATAGACTCTTTAAGACCATAAGAAGTTTGGTATGTTCTTTCACAAACAACAATGATTTTCAACGATTACAGCAAATTTACAGTAAACAGTAATCCTCAAAGCAACATCTACTGTTCCCAATTTGTTCTAAAGGACCATGAAGAACTATGAGGCAACCTACTTAAAGAATTAAAGCACAGTTAGACGGCGTTTGTTACCGTAGTACTGTGTCACAGTGGAGACCTTGGTCATGATTGCTTGTATTGTGTGGAAACTGTGTTCAGAGTCTCCCCGACCACTCCGTTAGTCCTCGAGGACATCAGACAACGTTACATCTTGTTTAGAAAATCATCAGAGGCGGCTTTCTAGAGGAACACTACTCTCAGTGAGCTCTAAGTAGAACTGAAAGACGGGAAGAACAACTTTGGTAGATTACAGAGGGTGTCAAGTAGACTATGTCTTTAGCGTTTACTAAAATTTGAAAAATGATTTGGAAGAGTTGATTTTTATGACTATTCGGGGAGGCAAAGAAAGGGGTCACCGACATTGTAACCCCCTGGAATGGTACCCCCCCCCCCCCAATCGGTGACGTCATTTCGCCGTTAAGCGTAGGGGGGGTACAATTCCAGCCCGTAAACGCAGGTTTTTGTCGAGAAAATGAGACGTCATCGTGATTTCACTAACCTCCGGGGGTACAATTCCAGGGGGGTACAATTCCAGGTGGTACAATTCCGCCACCCCAAAGATAGTATTTATGGGAGCTATGTTTCACTGCCATATCTTGCTTGCTTAATCTCATTCGGATTCTTCTATAATGGACATCGTGTCTTCCTCCTTCGTTCCTGTAACTTGGTCATTTGACATCGATGGAAAGCGAATTGATCCATCCGAAATGAATTATTTTTCCATTATATTCACATCAAATAGTTAGATTTAAATAAAAGGTTTTGCTTACAATGTGTGCAAGTGTAAAGGAATAAATTAATAAGTAACGTCAAGTGTACATCTTTTGAAATAATTAGATTGTTTGGTATTCGTTCAGAAATCCCGATTTCGTCTTCACTCACTATGATGTAGTGTGATTACATCAAGTAGTTAAGGTAGTTGTAAACTAACAACATAATAAACAGGTAGTGAGTGATATTACGAAATAAAGACATCTCCTAATTATATGGTAATTAATATTCTTGCTCGCTGTTGCTTTGCTTTACTGAAACTGATGAATGATGATATGTGTGACTTAAAAGTATTTAAAAACTTGATTCAAAGTACAATAATTGAAGTTCTATATTCTATCAATTTGCTTCCCAATTATCATTATTAGAGAAAATAGTCATTTTTGGTGAGAGAAAGGAAAAATAGGCTACACGGAAGTCCTGAAAGACAACATACAGCAACATGACGTTTCTCGCCATGTACAGACCATAGACCTATTCAACGGGGTTTCAAAAGACGGTTATCAATGGCTCTGCCGATAGCTATTCAACATACACCACATAACACGAGATATACGTGCCTTCCTTCGGCGACTTCCGCGAGCGTTGAACCTGTCACTTCGACGGCATGACTCGACATTTGAGGTGCCAAAAAATGTGTGAGGGATATTGCTTTTATCTTGTTTAAAGATTGTATACCTTCTTCTGATGGTTCTCAACAATGGAAATGATGATACCTTTTCGTGGGTTTTCAACATTGTTTGCGGACTTGCGGTATTTTGTTGATACGGAAAGTTGCGTAACCCAATGAACGATTTTGAATAAAGAACCAATTGGTTAAGTAAATTCAGATTAGCAACAAAAGAACAGTTGTTAGCACCTCTTTTGCTTCGAAGCTTCATGGTTATCTTTGTAAAATATTTAAGAAGAAAAGAATTAAAAAATAAATCTGTCCACTGATTCACCTTCTTACTTTATTTTTTTAATGTCGTAGATATCCATTTGCAATAACACACCTGACGATAATGTTTGCCAACTAACCAATAATTCTGTGATGTTTTACATATTCTCCTCATTTAAGAGAAATGTTCCCGTGGAAAGTATTCTCGTGAATTGTTTACGCTGAATTTGAGGACCAAATGATCGCCGCGGGTGCCAAATTCCAGCTGGCGAGTCGCGCCATTTTCACGCTTTTACCGCCAACTCCACCGCTGCCATTATACCTAAACACGTCTGTTGTCCTTTGTCTACGGCTTTCGGCTTTCTTCCCTACTTACCCTACTACAGAAGACGGTTGTAGTTGAACAGTCACGTAGTTCTTTCAGTGTTAATGGCGACTTTCCTGAACGAATGTTTTGTATGCAGATGACAATGACGAGAGAGTTGTCATCACAGTCATCTATTTATCTTTATTTTGCCACGTGAATGATTTCCTTGATGAACAATTCATAATTAGAACATAAGTTTCTTTGGTAAGTTCTGATTATGTAAGAAGTGTTTTAGTTTGAAGTTTTTGTTAAAAACAAATAGTGAATACCAATATTGAATAAAAGGTCGTATTAGAGACAATTTCACATTTCACTTTCGATAGTTGACATTTGTCTTTAAACAACCTTAACGGAAAACGTGTGTAGTGTTAAGCGTACACTCCATGTTTATGATAACTTTGATCATTTTGCATAGAAACCTAATGTTTTTGTTTTTGTTACAGGATACAGCATCTAGACTTTTTTCGTGTCCCACAGGTAAGATTCTGATACGATGTAACTATTATTGAATACAACTAGGTTAAAGAAAATTCACTTTGTCTTGGGTTTGATGAGTGGTCTCTACTAACTTAAATCCAAAATGTATTAAATTTGCTAACAAATATTTAAACTATATTCTAGAAACGAACCATATAGGCCTAGTATAGTATGTCCATTGTAACCACCGTGTGCATAAACTATCTATCTTTGTATATTTTGAGAACTTATGTTTGAACTCCATCATCATTTTAGGTGTGGCCAATTATGTGCGTTTTGACCCAAATATGAGTGAACGATGAGTATAGAATGGAGTGAGAACGAGAAGTCTTGTTGGAAGACAAACAGTTTTATTAGTCAGGCCATTTATTAAAAGCCCAATGACCAAGGGCAGCTGGGTTCATCAGACACTTTTAGTTAAGGTGATAGTCAGACTTTCTGCACGTGTAAATTGGAAGATGCATCGAGAATACTGTATATCCTTATCATTCTATCTCGGTATAGATGTTTGTCGGATTGAGATCATAACTCGTCAACAGTATTATACTCCGTTCAAACAGCCGTGGCACCTGAGGGATTAGGAGGCCGCAATGATTTCCATGGGGTCTCCTAATCCGTCAGGTGCCACGGCTGTCTGAACGGATAATAATTTCATTCCAGACAGTCATTGAGACTAGGTATTAAGGATTGTTTTGATGTTTTAACTGCATGTGGAAGGAGCTTTGCATGTTTGCTAGGGACTGTGATTCCATTTATTGGCAAGGATCTCTCTGATGTTTGCTAAGGGTCTTAACGCATTACATTTAGGTCTATGACTGTGTATTTGCCAGTCCCTGATGTTTACCAGGTCTGTAAATGTTTATTTGCCTGTCCCTGAAGTTTGCCAGGTCTGGGACTGTGTATTTGCCAGTCCCTGATGTTTGCAAGGTCTTTGACTGTGTATTTGCCAGTCCCTGATGTTTGCAAGGTCTTTGACTGTGTACGTGGAAGTGTTGGTGATCAGTTTCTGCGGCTGCGGACGCGGCTCGTGTGTGAACGAACCCCCGGAATGTCCTGAGATGAGAACCAGCTGTCCTTGAACCGTTGTCCCACAAAGGTCTAGCTCCTCCCGCCTCGTCTCTGCCTTCAACTCTCGACGACTCTCCTTTTTACTTGTTGAAAAAAGTCGTATTGAAGTGAAATCGGATGACCACTTTAGACAACTATTGAGCCTGTTACGATTTGTCACATTGAGAAAATCATTCTACAATCAGTACTTTGCCTTTGAACTTAGTTTTGAAATTAGACACCTTTCACAGAATTTATGCGGTTTCAGGGGAAGCAATTACATCCAATCCATCTCACTCTAACTTAGAAACAACGGCTGATAGCGGATCAGCTGATAATACATTAAGCCAAAAAAGAGAATCCATGAAACCTCACCCTCATACCGTCTAAATTTTGTGAAATGACTATAGTTGGAGGTGATGAAGAGGATGTTTTATGAGAAGGCTTACCTTTACGTAACTTAACATCCCTTGTTAAAGCAAGAGGTCTACAAAAAGTGACTTTTAGATCCTGAAATAAACACCCCATTTAAGCAAATTTTGTAGTTCAAATAGAATATAGTTAATGAGCCTGTTGCAGACTGAGGTGCTGTCAAAGTTCTATTTCCCCCTTAGATTCTGTTATTATGATAGTTCATCTGACATAAAATGTTCCGTAGTTTAAAATAAGTTTCCCTTTTAGTTTGGATATAAATAAAACATAATTATTCTACGTCAGCGCCCTCTGAAGGAGACTCAAAAATGTATTTTCATGAAGAACTATTATTTCTGATAGTATTGGTTTTAATTAATTTTAAGATTAAAAAAAAACCCAATAAAGTATGTTAATTTTTATTCTAAAGCTGATTAGAGCTTGGAAAATGGGATGGGGATGGGTATAGGTTCTACTTTTATCAAATGTCAAAGCTGCCACCAACCACATATTCACTAGTATTTCAAAGTACATTGGCAGATTCTTCCAGCAAATTTTCATAAGTGCAAGAAGAATTTTTATTTTAGTATCCCAACCAAATGACGGTTCTGTTTTCTAAAAAACCTGTTGGGTTACAATAATTTGAAAGATTTGTTATCCTAAAGCAGATATACTTTTGAAGCAATGTTTTTCCATTGATAGACCCTATATGCATTTCGCATCCAAATTGTGGGGAGTAGTTTAGTATTTATCAAACCTATACTTTGGGAGGTGGCATATAATTGTTTTGTCACATCAGACCGACTAATATCCACATTGTACCCTGATCGCCGTGCCACTGAACCACTCCGCTCCGCGCTCCGATGACTGCACATCAAACCATGCCGTGTGCAACATTGCCGTGGAATTCATAAATTACTTGAGTCAACAGAAAATTAAGCAATGTTTGACTGAATTGGAATTTTCAACATCTTGGTTTAGTCAAGTGAAACCACCATACCTTTTGCTTTCTTGTTGCTCTAATCTCCAGCTCTAAGCAATTTCCTTTAGTCATTTTGCACGTTGTTTCAAATGGCTCTGCACGTTTTTACAACATTTACCTTAGATATTGGTCCATGGTCTCCTTAAAGCAGTTCTTGATTAATTACATGAGAAGTGAGGCAGGTTTATTAGGTCCTTCTATGAGTCTGTTTAAATTCTTTGAAGTTGATTATACTTCTTCATTTAGATCCAACCAGGATCGCTTTAGACACACGTTTTCCACCGTTAAGTTTAGTATTGTTTATCCTGTTAGTGGTCTCTTCAAACAACATTGAAGATAATTTTCACCGGGAAAACTAAAGACTCGAATTCCTCGACCTTTCTAATCGGTAGCTAAGTCGTAATACCTTCAAGCATCTGTCAAAGGGTTCAGAGATTAACGTTTTATCCATTTCAAACATTTGCTATTTGCCATATATCATCTGGTGTGTTTACTGTTTACATTCTTGTTCATGATTGTACAACACGTGCAACGAACAACAGCACTGAAAAAATAATCTATTGGTTTCCTCCTCGATAGCAGCATAGTCATCCAACAAGGCTCGGAAGCCTCTGGAGAAGCATCGTCCAGGTATCAGTTATGTATTCAGGCCACTGCACGTTGTTATCACCGTTACATGACGTCACGGTCCCGACCCTGCCATTATCACCACCTTCACACCAGCTGTTACTGTGACTGTGGCCGCCATTGCCTATTATCACCATTGTTCTGCACGTGTCCTCAACATTGCGGCTCGAGTACCAAGTAGTTTGAAGTTTGAGGTCAGAATCCCGTTGACAGATTTACATAATTGGAATTGCTTCATAACGAGGGTGTTCAGAATCAGGTGTTATATTTTCTTCTAGGTTGTACTGGTTGTAGGCTACTGGATGAATAATGGTGATTTCTTACATCATCATAATTCAATGTGTGAGTCTGTATCTGTATAGGTGTAACTTAATGAACAACGAAGAGAATTTATTGGTTCTCGAGTTGTAGAAAATAGTCGTTACTAAAGTAGTCTGAACATTGATCAGTTGACTGCTAAATTTAATTATCCTTATGAGAGCATGTTTGAACAAAGTGTCATGGTTCTTCCTATCACTTTGAGAAAGAAACCGCACCAGCCAAGCTAGTCGAGAGATTTCGCTCGAAGATTTCTATCCGAGCGGTTGCCACAGCAGCAAGTCGGTAGGTTGAAAACGAAAAAAGCAGGTGATTTGTTATACAGCTAGTCCGAGATTGAAGTAACGGTGCCCGGCCTTGCACATGCGCAGTTATTGAACACGATCTGCGGACCGGTTACGTTACGTAGCCGTGCCAGGAGACTGGGTATGCTGATTAATTATAATCAAGTCACCGTTGCAATCTCCTGGGCTCTTCCTTCCTCATCCCCCTCCCCCTCCCTCCATGGTCCAACAGAAGCTATACAGGAGTGTGGATGTCAGGTCAAGTTCAGACTGTGTGTCGTGTTTGGTTACATCACTTTTCACTTATAGTTTATAGGAACTGTGAATTTTGTAGGCTGTGATCCAATGATTGTTGTTTGGTAGATAAAGGTAGAGGTATTGGCTTTTGGATACTGATGTCTCTTAATAGTCGCAGATGGTAAATTAGATTTGTCATCACGTTTGAGTGGTGTTTTGCACATTTCCAGACTGAACTAAAATGGCCTTTTGGAAATTGAAACTCATATAGAATTCAGTGGAAAGTCGGCAACATTGCATCAACTTTCATCCGACCATTTTCATTCGGTCCACTCTTGTTTAAAAGCTTCATAGGAAATAGGCATTTATTCAATTTGTCCTATTTAGCCTATAGTAGGAGCAATGGTGCAACTTGAAGAATCACCTGGTAAGGAAAAATCGTACGTTAGTGTGGAGATGCTCTGGAATGTCATGTCGGTCATTGGTCCTTTTAAGTATTGCCATAGACGGGAGTTTGTCTTTTTATGGTATTGCATACAATTTGAATGGGTAGCTTCTGACTTCTAACCTTTGAGTGAGGGTTATATCTTCGTATACACGCCACCATCACAGTAAAAACTGTCGCTGACCCTTGATTTGATTGTTTCGTAAGTTAAAAATCAACTATTTCGAATTTCAGGGTCGAAATACGTTACGCGCCCACAACTATATTTTTTAAATTTACACTTGTATACCTAACTTATTAAAAACCTTTTATAGGTAATAAATAATGAAAAATAATATTTACAAAAGGTATTTGATCACACGCTGTATATATTTGGGGAAAACACACAAAATATTAGACTAACTACTGCAAATTTAAGATGTTCAAGAAGTTTGGTTGGTTAGGTTAGGTTAGGTTAGATACCACTGTTTCTAACCCATCCTAACCCAACCAAACTTCTCGAACTTCTGTGGTTATCAGTTTATCTTGTGATCTGACAACACCAAGTGAAGAAGTGGTGGTTATTATCCTATTTATATTTTCTAATGTTCCGTCTCCAACCTTCATTAGAAGGTTTCATTCATCTGGGAATTCTTCAGCTCCACGTTGA